AATTGAATTGAATTGTAAAAGAGAATAAATAAAATTTGTTTATAAAGGTGAATATAGTCAAAATGCAAAATGTGATGGTCAATTGGTGAATATGCATATGGTTCAATCTTATTAAAAAAAAACATATCGATGGAAATCTTCTTTGTGAGTTTATTTTTATTTAGGTTTTTTTTAACCATTAATTATTAAAATTAATTTATTTCTTTTATTCAGAGCTTATAATAAAAGTTCATCATATCATAAATGTTTATATTCAATATTTGGCCGTTATGGTGTTTGTTCATTTGAACGATTTCCATATTCATATGAATATTCGAAAATTTATTGGAAATTGGTTATGTGTGCATGTTTTGTAGAAAATAGTAAGTTTTTATTTTTTACTTTTTTAATATTCATTTAAATAAAATAAATATTGAGATAATAATTGGGGTGTGAGTTAAAAGAAGGACCATACTTCCACCACAACTCACGCGAAACCCACACCCACACGCATCCACACTCAAACCCACGCCCACACCCGCACCCATCCACACTCAAATCCATGCCCACACCCATCCACACCTACACCCTCATGGTGCTATCATTAGTATGCTTGAACAATGACAGAATCTAGGAAGGTTTTCTGGAGTTTCTTGCACATGGATTCCTGAACTTTTGATGGTCCCATTGGGAATGATCTTCGCCTGTGTTGTCTAAGGCTTTGACTGGTTGAGAAAGTTTCTGGTGCCGAACGATGACTCAGCGATTTGGAACTACGAATTTTCATTTTTAAAGAGACATCTTTTCTCAGCTGATGGTTTTTTGGGAATACCGTTAAACTTTGGAACATAATTTTTTCATCAAAAGTTCAAGATGGAAAGGTTTGTCGAGCAATCTATGTAGCAAACGTCAACCACCCATTCGAGATAAGGAATTCAATGCAAAACATTCCACTTTCTCCATGTCAGAGTTGTTATCAATAAGAACAAGGTTTTGCTTTCCTACGCAAACAAAGAAACACTGAATAGGATTTTTTTTTTGTTCTTGCTTTTTTCCATTTATAACGCATACAGAGCAATGGTCATATTAATGTGATAACACAATCAGCTCTCTCGCCGTCCTTATGCGACAGAATAAGAGGAGCTTCGTGCTGGCAGGAAAGTATTATACACATTATTTTAAAGAGCTCTGGCGTGATTCGCATACTCTTTGTCATTTATCTCGATTATCGACGGCAGAATTTGAAGTTACGTGTGCGTAAATCACAATAACTTTTTTGACAAGGCTGTAAAATGTCACACACATTCATCTTCACACTTCTGTCGGTCTTCTTTGTCGTTGCTGCAGCGCCTCCCGAGAACCATTTGGAACTCATTATTATCAACAACTCTACCGCCACCCTTACATATGAGAACACCCAAACCTCACCTTCTACTACAGTCGATCTCAGTACTGACGTGATCAAACCTGAATCGAATGTCACTATAATTGCATATGTCGATCCTTCTCAGCGTGGAGACGTTGTTGCTTTAGTCAACTTCAAATGTAATACCGAACGAGTGTCTCTCTTCATCGACGACAGAGTACAGGTTCATGTGGGCCAGTCTGTTTTCCAGATAACCCACAACGAACTGCTTGTGTCAAGCATTGTTTCCAAGCAAAGAGCAAAGGTCTCTCCATGGTATCTATCGTTCGCCAAGGTTACACTAATGATCAACGACTACGGATCCCATTGAATTGTGGCTATATACAAGTGCTCTTTCAGGGTGTGGGTGTGGGTGTGGGTGTGGGTGTGGGTGTGTGGGTGTGGGTGTGGGTGTGGGTGGGTGTGGGTTTGGATATGGGTGTGGGTGTGAATGTCTACAGGCACATCCACATTCCACACCCGACACCCCACACCCACACCCACACCCACACCCACCCACATCCACACACCCCACCCATACCCACACACACACACACCCCACCCACACCCACCCACATCCACACACCCCACCCATACCCACACCCACACACCCCACCCGCACCCACACCCTGCATGCAAAAGCCTACCTTATCTCTTGTCTTTGTGATTTATAAATAAAGTTTATTTATATATTGATTACTATGGTTTATTTTTATCAAGAAATGAAAAGGTAATAGTAGTCGCATGAATAATTATAATTTTTATTATAATTACTAGCGAGAACTCGTGCATACTGCACGGCTGGTTTCTCCTTTAACATATGACTTCAGACATTTAACTTTTCATCAGATAACAGACATACAGATACGCGATATTATGTATATAGATCAAAGTCTTACGGCCTCATACTGTTATATTGCACATATTTTTATAGTCCATGCAGCCTTATATCCCTTGTACCTCTTGTAGCCTTATCGCTTTATTCTCTTGCACCCTTCAGAACCCATGGGTACGCTATAGGATGGCCCTTGAGGATCCATGGGTACCTTCATATAATAGCCCTTGAGGGTCTATGGGTACTCCCATATAATAGTCCTTAAGGGCCTATGGGTATCTCTATAGGATAGCCCTTGAGGAACTATGAGTATCCCCATAGAATAGCCCATGAGGACTTATGGGTACCTCCATATAATAGCCCATGAGGACCTATGGGGACTTCTATATGATAGCTCTTGAGGACCTATGGCTACCTCCATATAGTAGCCATTGAGGACCTATGAGTATCTCCATAGGACAGCCTATGAGGATCCATGGTACCTCCATATAATAGCTCATGAGGACATATGAGTACCTCTACATAACAGCCCTTGAGGATCTATGGTTACCTCCACATAATAACCCTTGGCGCCTTCTCCTTATAGCCTTATTTGACCATCAACCCTTGATCTTTGACCAGGAGGGAAAAAGCAGACTTCTATACTTCCCTGTACTTCTATATACTTCTTTGTACTTCGTTGTACTTCTTTGTACTTCTCTGTACTTCTCTATACTTCAGAAGTACAGAGGTCCTGCTTTTTTCCCTTGATGATATCTCGAATGATGAAGAAATCGATCAGCAACGTCTAACAACTTCATCAAGTTTGAGTATTTTGAGTTTTTACAGAAAGGTTGGATATCTAGTCCTTTTTTCTTGTAGCATCTTCCATCATACGACATATAGATATTCAATTCAACTCAATCTGACGAGAAAATGAAAAACAGTTTATTGAACTGTCAAAGAAAATTGATCGAAAAAATCATATGGATAGTGTAAGTTACTTCCAATCTTCTTTTCAACTATCTAACATTATATATTTATTGGTTTTTTAGGTTGATCTATCGTCTTTTCGTGAACCAGGAGATAATCAAACAAACAATGAGGTGATTTGTTTTTTTTTCTGCTTTTTTATTATACTTTTTTTTTACTATTTAGATCTATAATAATACTAATTTACTTAGTATTCGAGGAAAAAATATTGGTGATTATGCACGGAAAGCACTTCGTATTATTTATTCACATGAAGAACTATTGTCTTCAGTTTTACCTTCTGGTAGTCCTCATTTTATTCGAAAGCCGTTGGACAACAAAAGATTTGAAAAGTTTCATGATATGTAGTTTCCTTTGTGCTTCTTTAAAAAAGTAAAGCAAGATTTAAGCAAAGCTCTAACAATCTTTACTATTTTTGTTGTAGCAAAATGTAACATAGGAGTAATTTCTTTCTGTAATTCACAGTGTAAAGCATTTCAACAATCAAAAGCTCAAAATTTTCATAATGAAGAGCTTTCTTTGAATTTCAGTAGAAAATAAGCATGTTTTCTATTTTTGAGAAATCCAGAGAAAGAGGAATCGTAAGCTACTAGTATAACTAGAAAATTTTCTGTCTTGAAATTTGTCAGTGTCTTAGATATTTTATTTTTAGTTACGTCTATATGCTACTAACACAAATTTGTCGAAGTTTTTATTTTGTTTAATGAAAATCTTTTTTTTAGAAGCTATGGGTGCTAAATATCACATATGTGAACATCGATACGACGAATTTTTTACCAAATTAGTTCGACCGAAATTAGTTAACTTTTTGTCCGATGAACGTAAACGAGAACGTAAAAGACAATCAACTAAATCTCTCTTGCCATCATCACGTGATCATAGTTTATAACGGATGTCTGCATACCATAGCCATATATAGTAATAATATACTTATTTTATTTTGTAGGTTAGAAAACTGGTTATTTATGTAAAAAAAAAACTTATTTTTAAATGATTTGTATTTTGTTTGTTGCATATAACTTTTTTGCTTTTGTGTATTATTCATTTAAAAAACGAACAAATAATTGACATAAATAAAAGCTGATAAACCAAGGATATCTTCAATAGTATATGAATTTGTGTTATCTATTAAAAATAAAAACCGGAGACATAAACATCAACACTGCGAACAGAATCGAGTTCGGTTATGAAAATAAAAAGCCTCATCGGATCTTGCGGGTTCCAATATCTTCCGATTGACGGATTTAACTGTCGGAAATTATCGGATCCGATATCCGACAACTTTCTGTCGGAATCTTGTACCAAAGATTCCGATGATTTCCGACACGATCCTATCGGAAGTTGTCGGATCCCTATCGGAAATCATGGGATTATTTGGGATATCCTACCGGATCTTGTCGGATCTTAGACTGGGATTGTTCGACCTGGCTTGACATTGTTCTCTTGAATTAGTTGCTTGATATTTTGAAGTTGTTCTTCGACGTTCTCTTCATTTTTTCGATCAATATTATCTTGGATTTGTTGAGTAAAAAAATGCTTTTGTACATATTTTCTAGCTTCATCAAGTTTACCCATGGGACCCACATTTTCATCTTTCTGCAAAATTGTATATGGCTTAGAAATAAACCATGAAGTTTTCTTCGTACAACATGCGCAAGAAAATAAAGTAGTACAGAAAAGAGAAAATTGAACTCGCATCATTTCATAATCTGAAAGTAGATTGTAGAGTAGGTCTGTTCGCCACAATGATCCTTGTGTCATCAAGGATGGAATTTCACCAACAGCCAAACCTATTAGAAGAAAAAAAAAACTTATTTTAAATGTTCTTTGAATAAGATGTAATAATTCATCAAAATTTGTTTGCTAGCTAATTTTTAGATCTTTCTATAAACTTAAGAATTTTTTCATTAGTTACAACTATTGATCAAGAAAATGAATCTACATTTCTTAGAGCATATCTAAATGAGATTTCTGTAACAATCAAACAGTCCTAAATATGTATCCTTCAATAAATCATCATTTTCTGCAAGCATAATCTATTCCTATTCACATAAAACATTCTAAAAATGAATTATTAATCAGATATATATATATCTTACCAATTAATAAATTGATAATGAAGATCGAGAAAGCGATTGCCGTAAGCATGAATATGACATAAACTAATTTATAATATCCAATACCACCCTGTTCCGAATTGTATAAACGATCTTCATATCCTAAATCGAAAAGCATCAAACCTGTATGTAACAATGCTTCAATAGGTGTCCCATAAACAGTCTGATTCTGTAAAAGCATCCAATATGTGAAACCAAAACCACAAATGACGATAAGCAAGACAGGAAGAAAACGAATGAATTTATTCGTTATCACTTGTAACATAACGATATACACTCCCAAATTGAAAATTGGAGCTGATCGAATATATACTAGAAAATTGATATATGCAATAAGAATACCCATTGCACCTAACTGATATTGAACTGGACAACGAAACATAATTTCAGATTGCCAAGGATACCAATCGAGAATATACACATAGGAAAGAACAAGTGCCGATATTTCAATATAAGAGGAACCCGTACGAAATACCTTTGGAAACAAAACCGTTATAACGATGATGTTCTTTACAATGAAACTTGACATTATTACATAGAGTGCCATTTTAATTCTTTTGTAATGATTCGTTTTAAATGCTTCATCAGTTCGATCGAAATTATTCAAGAAATAGTTACTCACACTTTCACATGTGGCTAAATCAATCGTCATAGTCATATTGGCTCTATTATAGAAATATTGCGGATGCTTTCCATGAAGTATTACGGTAGTCAACAAAGCGAGACAAGCGACATAGATAAAAAATGACATGATGAATAAAGTGAGGCCAAATGATCGAAGTTTGGCTTGGCGCAAAAATGTATTATAAGAATGTTCAATCAGCTTTGGACACGTTTTCTGTGAACTCGCAATAAATAGTGGATGATTACGAACGATTGTGTAAGAATCATTTGTATAGTATTTTCCCAGTATACTAGTTTTGTCTGGCCTACAATGAAACCATGACTTAGGCAAAATGTTTTCGAAACACCGCCAACAAGTAAAGATGGCACCAATGCCACGATCATGCCACAACTTTTTCCATGACAGTGACTCTTCCGACAGCTTGACACCTAAATGACAACATTTTAAATCAAATAATATTGTTTGCGTGTGGGTATGGGTGTGTTTGAAGAAATTACTTTGATTCACGGCCACATCCACACCCACACTCACACTCTCAGAAACAGAAGAGCATGCGATAAACAACAAAATCTTGGTATCATTGTCTTGTTTTTTCTTTGTTTAACTGATGAAAAGCGTTACAACTATCATCTATGTGATCAAAGTAAGAAATACGATAAATAATTAAAGTTTTTTAGATTACAAAACATTATGAAACTAGAGAAGTATGATATTCGTGATCACCATAGAGGATTAAGCAGATATATATTTTTTTAATTAGCAAAAAATAAAATGTTATGGTAAGTTTGATGTTTTTACATCTTATTAGCATACTTTTTAAGCAATCTGTATATTCTTCCTTAGATCATCTTGAAAATGAGCCTCGGAAGTTTTTGTTTGAAATGCTTCATAATTAAAATTTTCAGTCTTTCTCATTCTATTACATTGGCACACATATACATAGAGACACAATCTGTGTACTGAAACACTAAAGTTCGAAATATTCCTGGTTAAAGATAGAAACAACTCAGAGCGGTAAAACTGGTATCATCAATTACTCCTATTAAAAGTCTTGAATGTGTATAGTCTGAAGGAAAAACCGATATTTGATATTCATTGTGATCTGAGGGTGGTTCATAGATTTTTGAGAAAAATATGGTGCTACTTTGGCATCTTACGTATAGAGGCTTCTCAATTAATCCTCTCGTAAGAATTTTATTTTGTGCTTCTTGATTAAAAGCCCTACTTCGTTCTCGAATGCAAATATAAAAATGATTTCGATGTGATACTTACCTTTATCATACCAATCCTTAACAACGCACATATCTTCATAGAATTCGTAATCATAGACAGTTTTGTGTATTTTTCGTCCAGGTCCACCAATCACACTTGTAAGTTTATTCTCAATGATCCAAATAGCCATATCAGGTAAATATCGTATTAATTTCCTCATAGGAGTATCATAAGCTTCAGTATTATCAATAGGCTGAGCGTTTCGCATCATTTCGCGCCATGTTGAATGGTCGAACAGCTTTTTAACAATTTCTACTTGTTTATTAGTAATGGCTATTTCTAAACAATTGTAACATCGAGCATTCCGTAATGTAGTTGAGCCATGCTTCTCAAGAAGATATTCAACTATGTTAAGATATCCATTCTCACAGGCCACATGCAAGGGTGTAAGTCGACGATCACCAATCGTATCGACTGCGAGTCCAATCGTCTCAATCAGATACTTGACGATATCTATGTGACCTTTAGAGTAGAAACAAATATAGTATACGAATATCATAAGAAAAACAAATAAGAGTGAGCACAAATCATACTGAAATTGATATCAACTTTTTTGATATTCGAAACAGCTGTGATTTTGTTTACCTAGGATTTTGATGGGCTTTCAAAACTAATTAATTCATTATAAATTCGAAAAAAGAAAGACTGAATAGATGAGATCTTAAACGAAATTATATTGTCAAGTTTCAACGGAAGATTTCCTTCTCTCTATCCCGTCTCTCGAACTTTTTATTGGATGCTTTTACTTGTTTTTTGCTTCTATTGTTATGAGCATATTACAACAATCTAGTCTTTCATAGATTCTGGTATTCTCAAATTCTAAGCACTGCTAATTTTTTATTTATCATAGGCTTGATGTATTGAAAGATCAATTTTGAGTAAAAAGTATTTACAGAAATTGTGTCATATAGCATATGATTGAAACATGTATAGTACGTTCAATGGCAAAACTTACTTTATATTCATTCATTCAAATTAAAAAGAAATGAAAAAAACAGATATCTTTTGGTATTGAGAACTTTATAATTATTTTTAAGATCATTCTTTCATTGTTACTACCACTATTCAAAGCAGATCAACGCTAATTTGACTTAATCTCTATTGTCTTTCTCAAACGTGTAATGAATAAAAAACATAAGGGTCTACCCAAGTGATTAAAGGTCCTAAGAGCTATAAGCTCAATATATATTGGCATGGTATTATTTCTTTCCTTGATAACCTATTTTCATACAAGACGATATTAATTAATCTTAATAAAGATTACACAGAGAACATTTTAAAATTTTGAAATATTTTCTAAGTGAAACAAAATTTGAATTCCAAATAGAATTGATTTCAAATCTAACCGACTCATTATTGGATTTCTCAAAAAGTATATTCAATTGAATCGAATAGAGATGCGTCTATTTGGTTCACTTGTTGGATCTCAAACCTATCGACAAAAAAATACAAATCATCTTTTTTACTCACATAGCGGAGAAATGTGGAAAAAAGTGTGAAACTATCAATAGTATTTATCACGACTCCTAATTAAGCTGACTAAGTTACACAGTAAAAACGGAAAGATGGGCTATGTCGAAATGATATACAAGATATGCTCGTACAATCACCTGAAAAGGTGTAATATTATGATGCAACATGTACTATTTTTAAAACTTTTTTTGTATACTTTCAATATTCTTTTGACTCTGTATAGCAACAGATCTCAATAAGAATAGTTTATTGTGAAAATTTCAGATCTCTTGCTTGTCCTTATTATAAAATACACTTATAATAAAAGTATGCTTGTACATCGCTCGCATAAACATGCCGTTTCCGAGCTTCTTATTTCACAATAGGAGCAGTCAGAAGATCTGAAACTTTCATAGTCAACTA